GACTTCCGGTATAACTATAAGGTAAGCTGGGGCAACTGGGCCCAGGGGGTAAGTGGGCCATGAGTCTGTCAATGTCTAACCTGCTGCTACGGAATATTCAAACAGTTGGCAACGTTGTGTCAACCTGTCGACTTGCCGGTACAACGAATATAACCTCGTTTTTCTATGCGGCATGCACGTGAGTGCGTTCTGAATTTAATGCATATATTTTGGTCTGACAACGTGCTGCAGTAGTGCATTTGTGTGGTCCTGATTTGAGCAGTGTAAGTATTGATAAATTAACTTATAGATGTAATAATGAAATACGTTTAAAACAAGTGATTAGCATGTGTTTCAGACAATTATTTTTCCGTATTGTAATTCAAGCATGAGTGGCCCAGTAACCCCGTATGTTTTGTGGAAATGGGGTAACTGGATCATTCCTCGGGGGTAACTGGATCCTTGGGTTCCAGTTACCCCGAATTTTGGAAGTAATTACTTACACTTTTAGAAATAAATTTCAACATGTTTCTTCTTTCTTTTACAGACATTAACGTTTCAACATGGTGAGAACGTACGTTCGAAAAACTGAGAAAGGTGTAAGGTCCGCTTACACGGTAGAAGATTTCCAGCGTGCGATTGATGATGTAAGAAATGGAAACAAAACAACCAGAGGTGCAGCACTGTTCTACAACATACCAAGGAGCACACTGAAACATCATGTGTTAGGAACGAGGGGAAAGGGTTCCACATCAAAGGAAGGCAGAGGAGGCGGAGGTGTAACTTCGTACCTGTCAACTGCCGAAGAAGAAGAAATTGCCAATTGCATCAAGGTAATGGAAAAGCATGGATTTGGTCTGTCGCGAGAAGATGTACTGGATTTAGTACAAATGTACATTAGACAGAATAATTGGCCAACAAGATTCAAAGACCAACGACCTGGAACCGACTGGTTCATCTCTTTCAAGAAGAGGCAACATTTGTCTATCAAAAAACCGCAAAGTATCGAATACGTTCGGTGTGACCAAGTTAACCCTTGGGTCATCTACGACTTTTTTGACAAGTTGGAACACCTCATGAAGGACTTAAAACTTGAAGGAAAGCCAGGACAGATATTCAATTGTGATGAAACGTCATTTTGCGATGACCCTTCTAAAACCAAAATTGTTGGGGCCATTGGTACGCGATGTCAGCGCAAAACTAGTTCTTCTGGGCGCGAAAATACTTCTGTGTTGCTTTGTTGTTCCGCTGATGGAAGAACCCTTCCATTGCTTTGCGTTTTTAAGGGGAAGTTTGTCATGGAAAATTGGATAAACGAAGAATTGGCCACACAAACTGCTGTTTCAGTAACTGAGCGTGGGTGGATGGAGACAACCTTATTCTACAACTGGTTTAGAGATGTTTTCCTTCTCCAAATATTGGTAGAAAAAGACCTGTAATTTTAATTTATAATGGGCACGTGACCCACATTTCCGTAAAGTTGATCCAACTAGCACGGGCAAATGATATCATTATCATGAAGTTGCCACCACACACAACACATGTTCTACAACCCCTCGATGTTGCCATTTTTAAAGGCTTGAAAACGGCATGGGACAAGGCATTGTGCAAATGGCAACGGCAGAATCCGCGGAAAAAAATTCCCAAAGCTGAATTCACAACCATCCTAACAAAGCTTAGCGGCGAAATTCCTGAA